TCTAACAGACTTAGAAAAAGAATGAATTACAATTCTCTTTATGTAATATCTCTCTAACTGACTTAGAAAAAGAAATTACAATCTTCTCGATTGGTTTCTCGGTTTATAAAAAAGAGAAGGGATCGACGCAAACCATTCCCTTTGTTTAACCTGGGTTCTTTTTGGTGTCGATGGAATGCCTCCCTTGATGTTTGTGTCAAGTTTGTTTTCCATTGTTGATCCGAATGCTTCACATCGTGGAATGTTGTCTTTGCCTCTTGACTCAAAATCTTGGACGAACTTACATGGCAAGTTTAAAACTCTTAACGAGTTTGAGAACTCAGAATGAGTTTTGAAAGAACTCTTTAAAAGAGTTGATTGATTTAACCAAAATCGGTTTGTAAGCCAAGATTGATGAAAGCTCCAAGAATAACTCCGAGGGTCTGAAGATTGCCGAGATCCTTCTTCTGCCAAGAAGCCTTGTGCCGATCTTAATTCTCTAGAAATTCCCCTCCAAAGGACCAGCCCTATTTAAGCTAAAATTTTAGCTATTTATAGGAGATTAAGGGGTGTAAATGCTCCCTGAATCCGCTCCTAAGTGGTGCAGAAATCCCTCAAATCATGGGGAGAAAACAGTTTCTGAAACTATACAACTCGTGTTTGAAGTCAAACACAGGTCCTGCGTTGCTAGGCACGAATTTTGCATTCGAACGCAATGTCTGGAAGCTACATCTACGACGTCTGGAATCTGTGTTGGCAGTGTCTAGAAGCTGCATTGACAGCGTTTGAAAGCTGCGTTGGCAGCTAGTTTTGAGCTGCGTTTGCGGCTGGGTTTGAGCTGTGTTTACGGCTGGATTTGAGCTACATTTGTTGTTGGATTACTTAGGCTCTGTTTGGCAAAACTAGCTGAAAGCTACGAGATTATAGCTGAAAGCTGTAAAATTGTAGCTGAAAGCTGATAGCTGTGTAGCTAGCTGATTGACTAAAACTGTTTGGCAAAAGAAGCTGTACAACTAGCTTAAATTTATTAAATGACTAAAAAGGACATGCAATATTATTGATATAAAATTAGAATTATTAGGGGCAAAAACAAAAGAAAAAAATTGGCAGCTCCTTCCCAAAGACAAACACTACTTGAGATAGCTTTCCAAAAGTTACTTGCAAAAGACACAATCTTCAAAATAATCTCCTCCTATTTTTGGTCACCAAACAGCTCTACTAGCTTATTGACCAAGTCAATAAGACACAATCTCTTAGATAAGATACTTTTTTTGGTTGCCAAACAGTGCCTTAGTGGTTGCATCGTTTTGACTCTGGAACACAGAGGTGAGCCTGAGGCGAGCTTGGTGAGTTTCAGGTGAAGTCCAATGTTTAGGCGAAGTCCAGTCTTGCATACGGACTTCAGAACATAACTTGCTGCGAAGAACAGGTCATAACTTTCAAATTGTAAGTCAGAATTGGACGAATTATATATAAAAATTGACTATCTCGACAAGACGGAGCCGACCAAACCAACCCAAAAGGTTTGGTTTTCTCTCGTCTATTTCGCCAAATTCCTTATAGCTTTAGAGATATCTGTGTTTTAATTTGAAGAGATCGTCAATTTGTAGTCTCTTTTGCTAGATCGTTGCAAAGATCGTCATCCTGTAACCTTCATCTTGGCTCCTTAAAAATATGAGAGTCGTTAGATTATAACTACCAATGTTGATTGTGAAGGCTAATGAATTAGAGCTTTCATCGGTTGTTATAAAGGTCGTCAGATTATGACCTTCATCGATCTACGTGAAAATTTTTAAATTGTAGTCTTCTGAAAGTCGTCAAATTATAACTTCCATCATTGGTGTTTGATGGAGATCAGCTATCTGTAGTAATTTTTAGACAGCCTACATAAGTATTTATAAGACTCACAAAACTTTGAGACCTATTCCAGCAGATGTCCTTTCGACTATGTCTATTTTCAGACCCTTAGTCAAATGATCAGCCACATTCTCTGAATACCAGATATCAATCACAGAGATGACTCATTAGTAAATGAATTCTCTCAAATAGCCATGCTTCAGACGAATGGTCTGCTTCTTTCCATTGAATATCGAGTTTGCTGTCATAGCACTCGCCGCTTGATTATCACAATAGATAGTAATTATACCTTACAATTTTGTCAATGTAAGGTCTCAGAGAAAACAACTGAGCTACTCGGCTTCATCTCCTGGAGCACAAATTGTAAAAAACTCAGATTCAATCGATGACTGTGCAATCATAGTCTGCTTTTTAGGCTTCCACGAGATGGCAGCTCCACCCATGCTGAAGACAAAACCTCTAGTAGATTTGCACTCATCTGGTTCTGAGCACCAACTAGTATCTGAATATTCGATTACAGTCAGATATGCAGTATAGAATATGCCCAGACCTATAGTTCCTTTCAAGTATCTCAGCAATCTCTGAACAACATCACAATGAAGCTTTCTAAGATTACTTATGAACCTAATAAGCAATCCTACAGTGAATACTATGTCAGGCCTTGTGCAGCTCATCGCGTACATAAGACTCCCAATGATCTTTGAGTACCTTAGCTACTCTACTGGTCTCCCACTGTTTAGTCGTAGCTTCTTGTTATAATCATACGACATTGACATTTCTGGCAGGTCCTAGTAGCCATACTTTCTTAGCATACTCTCAACAAAATGAAATTGAGACAATCCAATACTCTCTTCAGAGTATATGATTTTGATTCCAAAAATTACATCCATAGTTCCAAGGTCCTTCATGCTGAACTGTGCTAAAAGAAATTTCTTGGTAGATATTACTATCTCCAAATCACTCCCGATGATGGGCATATCATCCATATAGAGGCAGATAACCACCACATTTTCTTCAGCGACCTTGATGTATAGGCACTTGCCAGATTCACTGACTTGATACCCATTATTGTGAACAACCCCATCGGACTTCTAATTACCAGAGTTTCGGTGTCTACTTTAGTCTATATAGAGACTTAACAAATTAACAAACTTTACTAACTGGAGCATCAAGTCCTTTTGGTTTTTCTATGTAGATCTCTTCTGTGAAATCTCCATTGAGAAAGTTAGTCTTCACATCCATCTGATGTATGGCAAACTTTTTTATTGTCACCCATGCGATAAGCACTCTGATGGTAGTAATTATATAAACTGCTGCATAGATATCAAAGAAATCTATTCCTTCTTTCTGAGAGAATCCTTTTCCCACCAATCTTGCTTTGTACTTCTTAATAGTACCATCAAGATAAAGTTTTTTCTTGAAGACCTACTTACAACTGATAGGCCTTGCACCTTCACGTACATCCACCAGCTCCCAAGTGTGATTTTGGATCAATGAATATATCTCATCATTTATAGCTTATTTCCACAGAAGAACGTCTGTTGACTGCATTGCTTCTTGAAAAGTTTGTGGATCTCCTTTCACATTATTAGTGATTAAGTCATCTCAAAAATCTTTCTGCCTCCTAACACGCTTGGAAGGTGGTTCGGTAACTTCTTTATCATTGACACTTTTAGTTTCTCGTGAAACTAGCTCCTCTAGTGCTTCTGACATACTAGCATTCTCTTCATCTCGAGCTTCAATGATCTCTGGAGCATCTGACGTACCAATATTCTCTGGTATATCTTTAACCAATAAACCTTTATTCTTGATAAACGTGTCTCAAAGAATTCTGCATCTCGAGCTTCAATGACAGAGTTGGTTCCAAGGTCCAGGAATCTATAAGAAACGTTATCTTCAGTAAAGTAAAGAAACACACACCTTTTTGCCTTTGGTCCGAGCTTAGGCATTCTGATATCTAGAACTCAAACATATGCGAGACACCCCCATACTTTGAGACTATCCAAAGGATCCGGATATCCCAACCATAATTGATGAGGAGTACTGTAAGTTTTGGAATAGGGTACTTTATTCAGAATCTAGTTTTCTATTAGCATAGTCTCTCCCTAATAGCAGGTAGGTAGACCAGATGTGATTAGCATCGAATTCACCATCTCGGTCAATGTGCAATTCTTCCTTCTGTAATCTCATTGGATTGCGGAGAATACAGAGCAGTAGTTTTAGCAATGATTCCATGCTCATTAAAATATGCTTTCGACTCCTTAGATTGGTACTCTGCTCCTCTGTCACTCCTAAGTCTTTTCACTTGAAGCCCAAGCTGCTTCTACACACAAATATGAAACTCGATAAACTTGCTAAAGGCTTCATCTTTAGATTTTAACAGGTAGACGTGGCATAAGCGAGAATGATCATCAACGAAGGTGATGAAGTACTCCATGCAGCATCGAGTGACGAAGCTCTTAAAGTCACAAGTATCTGAGTAAATCAGATCCAATAGGTTAATGCTCCTTGTGACGCTTGGAAAGGGCTTCCTTGTCAGTTTCGCTTGTGCGCAGACTTCACACTTCTCAGGTTTGTTACCCCTACGTTTTGAAAGTAATCCTAACTTCTCCATGCTAGACAGTTTTCTATAATTTACATATCCCAGTCTATTTTGCCATAACTCAGAGGAGTATGCAGAAGACGATATTTTATTTATAACTGAGTTGGGTACAATAGTACTGATCTTATACATACTATTAGTACGATATACATTTCTAAAATATATTTTCTTAAAAGATAGTAAAGCCTTTCCTCCTTGGAAATCCAGCCTCATACCTGCGTCACATAACAGGCTTCCAGAGACTAAGTTTTTGGCAATTGTGGGAACATGTTTTACATCCTTCAATGTGAGAGGCTTCCTTGAAGAGAGAGTTAGCACCACAGTCTTAGTTCTAAGAACATGCACTACATAACGATTAACCATTGATACGTTCTCTTTGGCAGCAACATAAGAAGAGAACAAATCTCTGTTAGAGTAGACATGACAGGTAGAACCTGTGTCTAACCATTAACCAGAGATGTTGTTGAGAGTTGTCATCTGAAATAACATACCCACACAATTGTTAACTTGATTAACATTATGTTGTTCCCTTCTTTGGTGCTTTGCAGTCCTTGGTAAAATGTCATTGCTTCCTATAGTTGAAGCATTTGCTGCTCTTATTGAACTCTTTCTTCTGAACATTTAGATTATTTGGGTTTTGATTCTTCTTTTTGTTAAATAACTTATTATTATTATTATTGGAAGAAGAACTAGTATCCTTCTCAGACTTAGTAGCAACCATGTTCGCAGATGCTTTCTGCTTAGCAAGGAGCTCATTCTTCGTGTGAGTCCAAATCTCGTCCTCGATCCGAATAAACCTCTTCAAATCAGACAGAGTCACATGTCCTTTCCTTCTCTGAATGTTAGTGGAGAATGGCATCCAAGATGAATGAAGCTTGTTGACGATTGCACCAGAAATGAAAGTTTGATAAAGATTGATCTTTTCATCCTTCAGCTTCATAACAAGCTTTTCAAGCTCTTTGACTTGAGGCAAAACATTAGTGTCATCTTCGAATTTGAAGTCCAGAAACTTATTAATGAGGTGAGACTTGGACAGGTTCTCCTCATCCTTGTACTGATCCTCTAAAGCATTCCAGATTTCTTTTGTAGAGGGCTTGTTGGTGTAAGCATCTGCTAAATAATAGGCCAGGCAGTTAAGGAGATAACTCCTAAAAAAGTGATCATCTCTAGCCTAAGAGGCATCAGACTCAGATTCTTCTTCAAAGTCGGGTTTCTCTTCCAAAAACCACATAGTAGATTTTTAGGAGTTGCATCCCGAAAATCACTTTTCGACGCCATGCGTTAAAGTTGGATCCGTCAAAGTTCTCTAACTTAAGACAATCCACTCCAAGTGTCATCGCAGGATCCATTGTAGATTAGAAATATTGCTTTAAGATTTTGACGTCTGTGGCTAAATCTAGAATAAAACTGATAAATCTGTTAGATAGTTGAAGTGCTATATTTTTAAAAAAATTTCAAGTTTAGTTGTTGTGCGTTTATGAAACACTATGCTTAAAGTAATATTTGGCCTACTCCAGTGCAAGGATTCTAAGGCCAAACTACTTCTAAGAATAGCAGTACAGTACACTAGTGTGCACCGACCAAGTGCTATCAAGATCTTCTCGATCTATAAGTCCTTTCGGTCAAGGCAAAGATCTCCTCGATCTGTTAAACCTATCGGTTCAAAACATTTCTGTTTAGGCAAAGATCTCATTGATCTGTTAAAACCTTTCGGTTCAGGCAAAAATCTATCGATCTGAAAAAACCTTTCGATTAAAATAAAGACCTTACGATCTGTAAAAAACCTTTCGGTTCAGGGCCATGTCCTTCGGGTATAGACTAAAGCTTGCACGCTTTCAAACTCTGCAACAGCAGCACAACAACTCATTAGATTCAACACTTCAATGTGTTCGAATATCCCTAAGATCTGTCCCAAGGGGTACTATTTATAGGCCTCTAAGGCCAGCTCAATGGTCACAAACAATCATAAATATGACTATTACAAATCATAATGGTAATTATGATGGTAACATCAAATGAATTGATTGTTGTAACTGCTGCATGCAGTCTTAATTGCTGCATGTAGTAATGCCTGAACGCGAGGTTTGCGTTTCTACACAACACGAGGGTCGCGTTCCCTCTCACAAACACGATGGTCACACCTCGTGTGAACACGAGAGTCATGTTCCCTTGCTGCGAAGCAGCCTACGAGACGACCCACTAGAATTTATGAGGGATTAATTGAATACAAATAATTCTAATCAAAGTGCGCCTTACAAAGCACCACTTAGCGTCTCAGCCCGATTAGCCCTGATTCCTGGCCCATTGGCCCACAGCCCATGAGCCCACAGACCACAACCCGCAGCCCACGACCCACTAGAACTTATGAGTGATTAATTGAATAAAAACAATTCTCGAACAGCAAGCCTCAAACATAGGACCTTTTGAAACACAAAAACTTTAATTTTTCGCTATGCTACTAAGGATTTTTGAAAAATACCAGTAATTAATAAATACATAGTTTGAAAACTCATTTTTGAAAAGCGGTTTTGACCAAAAAATCCAACACAATTAAGTGTTTGTTTCTCAAGAAATGTAAAAAGATCTATATTTTTCGAAGTAGAATTGACTAATTGACATGCCATTAGTTTTTTTAGTTAATGCAAACATGCAATATTTGTCGTGGCCAAATTGGCAGCAACAAATGCCATGACTTTTTCTACAAAAAGCAAGTCCAATTACCTTAACCAACTACCTTGTTGTAAACCAAATTTTGTGAATATATTTTGCTGCTAAATTTACCGTTGTAAGTCTATTTCATGTGAACCAAACAAGAAGTGTTTGTTTCTTTATAAATGTTAAAAGATCTACTTTTTTTGGGTAGAATTCACTAATTAATTTGCTGACATGGCATTAATTTTTTTAGTTAATGCAAACTTACAACATATTCTGCAGGCTGCAAAAAATGTTACAATATGAATTAGATCTTCATATGAACAAAACAGCCCCATGTAACATTATGAATTAGATCTTCATCAACTTTCAACCTAGCTCTCTCTGGAGTACTTTGGACAGCAATTCTTATTTGAATTCCTCTTTTCACAGTGTGATTAGTATTCTAACCAAAGTTCATAGCCCTAGAGGACTATCTACTAATCATTATTTATCCCTCTCGTTTCTACCACATGGCCAAAAAAGAAATTATTTTCAGCAAAGGTGTATTACTATTATCACATGCAAAGTTGCAACTATTCCAAGCAGTTGGTATCAATATTGATTTCACCATCTATGCTTGAGCATCTAAGCAGATGTTTTTAGACTTCATTAGTTTCAAAAAAAAAGGGAAACAACGAAAGAAAAGCAAAATTATGGATAATAATCCTATAAAGGGCTTCTGATAAAGACAAACGAGAATGTGATATGTCTAACTATAGATTTCTTTTACTTGCTTTTGTACCTACACCTGTTGTTGACTCTACTAGAGAGATGTTAATTATGATGGTGAAATATGTTATTGCATGGTACGGTGCATGGCAGGTTTGACATTCTTGGTTTCACCGAGGACTGCAGCCTTGTGTGAACCCAGGGGCGCCACACCCGGCCTATAACCCGTCTGCAGTCCGGAACCATCAAGCGAGCAACTTATGGTAGGGTTCGGACAAGACTACCTTCAGAAGATGAAGAATCTGATGCCGGCTCCGTGGTCGTATCAGATAATATGGTATCCAGCGAGGGACAACCCCGTGAGGCACTCATGATAAGTGCAGAACAAGTGGCCAAGATGCTCAAAGAGGCCATGACTAAACAACAGGAGAGCTTCAGGTTTGAAATGCAGATGGCCATGCAGAATATGAGAGAAATGCATGAGCAACAAATCCAAGCACTGACAAACCAGCAAGGCGAACCAAGTCGTCGTAACCAGGTTAATCCCAGCAAGGCGAACCAAGTCGTCGTAACCAGGTTAATCTGGAAGATGAGGATACAAATGCGAATGAAACGTACAATGCTAATAATCCTCCCGTCAATGCAGAGGGTGGCAACGAGAATGCTAGTGAAAACACAGGTGAAAACTTGAAGATCAAAAACCTCGAGAGCAAAATCAATACGTTGATTTCCGCTCAAGAGATGAAGAAAACGGGCATTCCTTGTCCATACCCAAGAGAATGGGAATCGGGTTCACCCACTCAGCATTTGATTTACTTCAAATCACACCTGGGGGTTATCTCTGGTAATGAGCCTCTGATGGTACGGTCCTTCGTTGGCACTCTTCGTGGAGCCGCCTTCGATTGGTATTGCCGCCTCAAGCCAGGAAGCGTGAATAGCTGGGACGATATGAAGACTAAATTCCTTGCTAACTTCTTCGACGATGACACCGAGATATCCATCGGATTGTTGGTCGACGAGAAACAAAAAGACGGGGAATTGGTTGATACCTTCGTCAAAAGGTTCCAGAATAAGGCGATGAACTGTCGGGACCCGATCACCGAGGAGTTCATTCTCCAGACTTGCCACAACAACCTCGCGTTGGACGTGTTGGAAGCAATGGGGACAGCTCCATCCAAAACATGGAAGGATTTGAAGGTCCGAGGAGAGCAAGCCGAACGCCTAGGCGACGAATGCTCCGCAACAGAATTTTGTCCCACGAGGGAAAGGTAAGGCACATGCTAATGCAGTTGATGCTAATCAAACTTTCCAATTGCAACCTCAGCAACAGCAGCAACAACAAGCGCCACAACAATCTCGGTCGTAATGGCAACAACGGCCTCGGAAGCAGAAGTCTTCAGAGCCAATATTTCCTAAAGTGTACTCTTTCAAAGATGACGAAGTTCCCGGCATCTTTAAGTACCTGTTGGAGAATAAATTATGAGATATGAATTATGAATATGTTTATTTTTTAGTTTAAATTTTAAGATTGTATTATTGTTAAATTGGATATGAACTTTAAATTTGGTTTAAACTATCGTAATGAAATTGTTTAGTGAGATTGAAAGATCAACTTGATGATGATTTTCTAAAGATCCTGAACTTCTTATATGTGATAATTTGATAGCTTGTATGGAAATTCCAACAATTCTCTCACGTGATACAACAATGGATGAAGATGAAAACAAACTTATAGCCATTGGCCTTGAAAGCGAGGACCATGATCTACTATTTACAACAAGTTTTTTTCTCAAGTGATAATATCTTATTGTTTATAATGTACTACTAACTAATGACATATACCAAAATAGTTATCTTATAGTATGAGTTTTATAAGTTTTGTTTTTCTATTTTTGTAGGCATCCGAGCATGAGGAGAATGTTGATGAGCCTATTGGTGTTGAAAATTGTGAAGGTAATTTTGTTGTTGATCCATATATCGGAATGGAGTTGTCTACTCATGAGGAAGCTTATAATTTCTACAATACATACGCCAGACTTAAGGAATTTGGTGTTTGCAAAGGTCATACAACTTGGTCGAGAAAGAAAGATGCAATCATATCTAGAATATTTTTATGTGATAAAGAAGGCTTTAAATTTTTAAAGGACAAAAGAGAAGATGGTCGGAATGTAATTCGAAAGTTCGATACAAGATGTGGTTGTAATGTAAGGATGGTTATTGGACTCGATAGAAGCACTAAAAAATGGATGGTGCGAAATTTAAACATTAATCATAATGGTCATCCATTAACCACCCCAAATCGGGTAAAGAAGCACTACTCACCATTAACCACCCCAAATCGGGTAAAGAAGCACTACTCACATCGGACACTTCATCGAGCTCAATCGACAAAAAGGTTGATAGATACGACACTTCATCGAGCTCAATCGACAAAAAGGTTGATAGATACTCTTGACAATCAAGGTTTACGGTCTTCTACCATTTGTAAGGTTGTAGATGTTGCTCATGGAAATGAGCAAGGCTCCTCACTTAACAAGAATGCCAAGCACAACTTAGAATTAAACGAAAAAATAATGTCGGTCATGAGCGCGTGAGCATAGTTCATCAATTTCAAGAGAAAAAGGTATCTGATCCTCAATTTTACTTTGCACTTGATTTATAAAATGTTGGGACGATGAGAAGTGTTTTTTGGATGGATAGTAGGTCGAGGACTTCTTACTTGCAATTTGGAGATGTTGTTTGCTTTGATGTTACATACAGAACGAACAATTTAAAATTACCATTTGCACCATTTACGGGCGTTAACCACCATCGACAATCTACTTTATTTGGGTGTGCGTTACTGGCCGATGAAACGGAGGAGACGTTTATATGGTTATTTAGCCAATGGTTAAAATGTATGTCGGCTATAGCACCATTAACAATCATCACTGATCAAGATAAAGCTATGTGTGGTGCAATTCACAAAGTTTTTCCTCAAACTCATCATCATTTTTGTTCTTGGCACCTTCATAGGAATGTCGTACAAAATCTTCAATCAATGCATAATGATTATGGTGAGGATGTGGGTATAAAGTACAACAAATGGTATTGGAGTAAATTAGAACAAAAAATTGTAAATCATTGAGAAGAAATGAGGGACAAATATGGTACAGAAAAAAGAATTGGTTAGTAAATTTATACAATCATTGAGATCATTAGGCTCTAGTGTATCTTAAAGACACTTTTACTGTAGGAATGACATCTACTCAGCGGAGTGAGGGAATTAATGCTTTTTTTTATCATTTTGTGAATGCAAATATCGAGTTACATGATTTTGTTAAGCAATATGATAATGCTGTCAGAGCTTGCCGAGCCGCTAAACTTGAGTAAGATTTTAAGTCCACAAACTCTGTTCCTACATTGATAATTGAACATTCCATTGAAAAACAAGCTAGGGAGAATTATACAAAGAATATGTATACTATCTTTCAGAAAGAACTCAAGGATAATTACTCCATGCTTCATGAAAGGTTGTCGAAGGACGGCACAAGTGCTACTTATGCCGTTTGGAATATAGATAGCGAGGCTGAAAGCAAAAAGAGGGTAAAGTATCATGTTATTTTTGATGCATCGAAAGATAAAAGAATTAAGTGCTCTTGTGCGAAATTTGAGATGGAAGGTATATTATGCAAACATAGCTTGCACATTTTAGTAAAGAAGCAAGTATTAGAAATTCCATCAAGATATATTATGCAACGATGGACAATTAAAGCAAGACATTTTGGTTGCGGAGTTGTTAGAAATTACATTTCAAATAGTAAAAACCAACTCTCTATCATTAAACATTGGGCCCTTAGGAGTAAATGTAACAAGGCACTAGAAGATACATTAACTTCAAGTACACTTCATGATAAGTTTAGTGCTTTTTTAGACTCATTTTTTTGAAGAAGTTGGTACTTACAAGAAAGAAAAGGAACATAATGACAATAAAAATGAGAGCAATGCTAGCAAAAAGATACCTACTTCATCCATACCCATATCTGTAGAGGAAGCGACTCAAATCACTATTCGTGATCCAGATAAGCCTATTGCCACGAAGGGACGACCAGCACAAGCTACTAGAATTAAGTCCGAAATGGAGATAGTACAAGAAAAGAGTATAAAAAAAAGCAAAGATTTTGTGGATTTTGTAAGGGAAAAGTACATTATATAATGAGTTGTCCTTTAGCTAAGGTATTATATTTAATCTTGATTTAATATTTTTTACCTGTCGATGCATTTGTCATGATAAAGTTGTAAATTTTTTATAGATGAAAAATATTGCAGGTGGTGGTCGAGAAAGTTAATACAGTGGCAAAACAAAGTTAACGGTGGGCAAAAACAAAGCATGTGTTTCTGAAGAATGTTGATAATTTGAATTAAAATTTATGTACATATGGATGATTTGGTTGTATGGATTAATCATGTATGGATGATAACGTGGTCGTATGGATTAATCATGTATGGATGATAATTTGAAATAAAAAGTTCATGTACGTAACGATGATTTGGTTGTATTGATGATAATATGGTTATATGGATTAATCATGTATGGGTGATAATTTTTTCTAGGTCTATGAGATACAAAATGTGCATAAGTGGGTACAATTTTTTTTTCAAGAACTACGAGGTACAAGACGTGATTAAGTAGGTACAAATCATTCATAAGTGGGTACAAAAGTTTAATAACCGGGTACAAATTATTTTGTCAGATCAATGAGGTACAAAACATGCATAAGTGGGTACAAAATAGTAATAAACAACATATATATCACAATATCAATGAGGTACAAAACGTGCCTAAGTAGGTAGTAGGTACAAATTTTTTTTTCAAGAGCTACGAGGTACAAAACAAGCCTAAGTAGGTACAAATCGTTCATAAGTTGGTACAAAAGTTTAATAACTGGGTATAAATTTTTTTTTCAAATCAATGAGGTACAAAACGTGCATAAGTGGGTAAAAACATTAATAAGTATAATTTTTTTCGAGATCAATGAGGTACAAAACGTGCATAAGTAGGTACAAAACTTGATTAAGCGGATACAATTTTTTTTCAAGAACTACGAGGTACAAAACAAACCTAAGTAGGTACAAATCATTCATAAGTAGGTACAAAAGTTTAATAACTGGGTACAAAATATTTTTTTCAAATCAATAAGGTACAAAACGTGCATAAGTGGGTAAAAAACATTAATAAGTATAATTTTTTCCAGATCAATGAGGTACAAAACGTACCTGAGTAGGTAGAAAACATGCATAAGTAGGTACAAAACTATATTAAGTGGGTACAAAAAAAAATTTCAAGAGCTACGAGTTACAAAACAAGCCTAAGTAGGTACAAATCGTTCATATGTAGGTACGAAAGTTTAATAACTGGGTACAAAATATTTTTTTCAAATCAATGAGGTACAAAATGTGCATAAGTTGGTAAAAAAAATTAATAAGTACAATTTTTTTCCAGATCAATGAGGTACAAAACATGCATAAGTAGGTACAAAACTATATTAAGTGGGTACAAAAAAAATTTTCAAGAACTACGAGCTACAAAACAAGTCTAAGTAGGTACAAATCGTTTATAAGTAGGTACAAAAGTTTAATAACTAGGTATAAAATATTTTTTCAAATCATTGAGGTACAAAACGTGCATAAGTGGGTATAAATCTTTATTAATTGAGTACAAAAATTTTTCTCAAAACAACGAGGTACAAAACGTGCATAGGTAGGTACAAAACGTGCATAAGTAGGTACAAAACTTTAATAAGTGGGTAAAAAATTTTATCTAGAATAATAATAAGCTATTACATTTGAATATGTGGGTACAAATTTTTCTCTAGAACAAGGACTTACAAAATATCAACCACATAATATCAAATGAGGGTATCAAATAAACAACATTTTCAATGAACATTTTGTCACTTCCACTTATCCATAAAGTATCATCCACATAATATCATCCACATATTGCAAACAAAACAAACACCACGGTGAAAATTAAAATAATATTTACAAAAAAGATGAATTGAGTGCATACAAAAGAGTACACGAAACTTTGCTCTATACTTTGCACAATCTCCTTCTAAAACTGTTATCGATCGTTTTTTGACAATGCTGTTAATGAATTCAATTATAAAGATCCCGCAATCTAAAGTTTTACATTTAGGAAAAAATACGATATTGAAAATGACTTTGAGAAAAAATGAACAAATACATTAGAAATGCATGAAACACTTACGGTCCTTGTTGTGGCGTGTCAACTGACACCAGAACATGATGCTCCAATTTCCCTAATCTCCAATTACTTTGTATAAAACTCATAAACTTATTTCTAAAGTTCACAGTATCGACGGTATAAATAGGGGAATTGATTGAGGAGTAGTGATAGAATTTTTTCTCCTCTCTCACTAACTCTACTATGTGCCAATGTTCGGAGCTGGCAATCGGGATCAGAATTCTTTCACACTCTAAGAACTTCTACTGAGAAACATTTTTCTTCATTCGTTTTGCCACCATTTCAAGATTTCCATCTAGAAATGCTTGCTAAAAGATGCATCAATGTCAACAATGTAGTGTTGTATAATAATAAAAACCACAAACTAATAAAACAACATGGATAGACTTACTGCAAGCCAAGGTCTTGTGAAATGTATCTTTCGATCATAACTATTAGTTGTTTCAATCTTGTTCCAAAGCCGAATAACAAATAAATCAATCACCTGCAAAATATACCATGAATAAATAATGTAGTTAATATAAGTGATTTTATATACAACATCAAACAAACCATAGCAACAATGTTTAGAACCTACATCATCACTGAGTTCACCTCCTGTTAATAGTTTATAAGCATCTAAGCGAGATATGCTTGCTTCGGCACACTTCCAAATGTATATATCATTATATGCAAGTACATGGTGAGAAAATTGCAACACAAATTAAGTAATTTTAAATATTATTATTAGAATAAATCAGTAACAAATACCTGGTCATTTTCGATTGTAGAAAGTCTTCAATTAATTTGTCCTCATAATCATAGACCAGTACCTTACCTGGATAGTCGAGCGATGTAGGGATGAAGCCTTCTTCATTTTTACACTTTTTTCCCCTCAAGACTATATAATATCTGGATGACACATTTCTTCTTTGTGCCTTCCTTTGCTTGATCTAGACGCATATAAGGTGAAGTAACAGAGGGTCCATCCTTCCTCTTCCTCTTTCTGACAGCCCGTTTGATAGATGAGGTTTCTCTCTTATTATCATTATCACCATCCTCTTTTTGAGAAACATCTCTATGGAGTTAAAATGTATATAATTATCAAAGAGTAACACAAGAATTATACGAAAAGTATAAAAAGTAAAATTGCAAGAGAATTGAAAAAAACTAAACTTACCGAGCTTCTTCTAAAATTTTCATGTCTCTTGGGCTCATCACAAAGTCATTATCAATATCAACTTCCCTAATTTCTTCCAAATTCTCATATTCATTTGCTTCCATATCCTCTTCGCTTTTATTTTCAAATTTTACATTTCTGTCACCTCTTCCTTCTTGTTTTTTTTTTTTTGCATGTAGCACTAT